CGCAGGCCCATGAGAACTGTGCGTGCAGATGCAAGCGATAGGCCTATTTTGTGTGTGTGCGTGTGCAGACCAGACGTGGTCTGACGTGGTCTGTTTGAGTGTGGCTGTAATGGAGCCCTGGAGCTTGTAATGGAGAATAAACTGAGTAAGTCTGCCTTGAAAGGGGATGAAATACACTGCAAAGTATTTATTGGGCAGCACGTAGTGTGTAGATCGTTGAAGAATTAAGTGAAATTGTGCGCAAAGCAGAAGTGAATGTGAATGTGTCTGACGTCATGGTGTGTGTGAAAAGGTTCATGGGGTCCATGGGGCAGGTCACCTGCCCCATGGACACAAAAGAAAAAAATTGTTGTGTGGATGAAATATGAATGATAACATGAAGAGTGTTTGGTGTTTCTCATCCTGAAACAACTGTAATCCCACTTTCTGTTTTGAAGAAAGGAGGGTTCACAAAAAAAAAAAACAGAGAGAGAGAGAGATATGTGTGTTGTTTAAGCAGTGATGAGAATAATGAAAACGTGATGAGAGAGGTACATAAAACACACACAAACAAAAAATGCATTAACCATACTAACCCTACATGCATATACACATACAATGAAACTCATGAAGACCAGGCATCATCTTAAGCATGAGATTCTGTTTGTCATCTTGTCCAAGTCACTAGTAAGATGAAAGTGGTACATAGACTAGTGGACTGAATATTGTTAGTAGGACAGATGGTTGCATCATATAGGGAGAAAACAGAATGCTGATGAGGGGTTTTGCATGAATGAGCTGTGTGAGCTGATTGTTGAGTTTCTGGTGTGTGAAGAAGTTTTAACATGGCACACATTTGGTTACATGAGAAGAAACTTATTATGTGATGAGACAACAGGGTTATACTGTATGTTGCGTGTGGCTGAATGGATAAATGTTTGAGTTTAAACTGGCTGATGATTTGTCTTTTGTTACTAAGTTGAGTCTGCCAATTAGGTTTGGTATGATTTCCTCCCTGAGATGAAGAACACATGTCATGATTTAACAAGGCCTTTCCTTCCTTTCCTTTCCTTTCTTTTATTCTTTTTATTTTGTTACTTTCACAGTGCACTGAAAGTTTTGTTTGATAATTTTTCTGTCATCTAAGCAGATCTGAACGTTTGAATAGGAAGAACTACACAACATGTTGTTGCGAACGGTTGCAAAGTGAGTTTCTCCAAAATTAAAATGGGCTCAGGAGAAAGTCGCTTATCTGGGACAATTAAGGAAACAAGTCCCTGTCCAAAAGGATTCAGCAAGGCAATCCGATCTAAAATTCTTCTTTTTCTTTTTGAAATGTCGTCGGTTTTGCTGAGGGTAGAAACGAAATGCGATGATAATTTCCTCTATCAGTAAAAGAAAGAATAACTGAGTGAATGAATGAGTGGAAAAAAAAGGGAAACTGACTGGACTGGTGAAAGCTGACAAGACTTGACTGACTTGACCACTACTTAAGGTTAACCTCCACCTAGACAGGACAAAGGGTGGATGAATCTATGTGTGTTTCTTTTTACAGGAGCACAAAGATGACGGCAACATCCTAGGTTGCATGAGCTTTGGGCCGTGCCGATTTAACCTTTAAATGCCACTTTCTGTGTCTGTGAATTTACCAGTGGTGTGTTATTCATGGGCTTGTGTTGCTCACAAAAGTCACTGTGAGAAAGTGTGTATACACCTGTGCAGCGCTAACATTTACATTTCTTTTCTACAGCAGAGGGTTAATCATGTGATTTGATCATGTGATTTACAGTATTGACACACAACTTGATGTTTTTCTACAACAGGATTACTGAGTTTTTGTGTGAAGAAAACTGTGGTTACAGGCTATATGTTGGTGATGAAATTACACTGTGTTGTTGGAGAAAATGTGAATGTTACAGGGGAAAAGTGAAAACAGTGTGATACTGTGTTTGACACCAGTGTTACTTCTTTTTACAGCGGAGTATTAACTTTATGACCATGGACATGGACATGACTCAAAAAGGGGGGAGAAGATCATAAACAACTTGATCCAATTTCCTTTTAAAAATCTTTTTCTGCGGTGACAACAGGTCAGGATAAGAGTTGTAAATGCAGATAATTCACCAGTTGACTCTAACCCCCACAGGATGCCTACAGTGAGAAGATTTGGGGTGGTTGATAGGAGTCATAAAGAAGGGTTTTGACCAGGCTACAGCTTTGAAGTTAGCTGAAAGTCACATGGACAAACAATAAAATCAACTGATGTGTTTGAATGCCTATGTCTGTATACGTTTGGATTGTAGTGACATTTGATTTTTGAGAATGTTGATTCTTTTTGTTTGACTGTTGACACTCATTTGTTTACTTGCAGGATGTAGGTTACTGTGTATGAGATCAATTAGAAGCAGGTTAACTGCTTACATGAAATTAACTGTGAACTTTTGCTGCAATAGGAGGTGAATGAGACGTGAGGAGCTGTGTATGAATGAAATCTACACTGACACTGCCAAAAACAAGGGTGCATAAGTTGAAATTTAAGTATACAATGACAAAAAGGGGGGAATGTTAAGTCAAATTGTTGAATGTGTCATTGTGGTTCCTAAATTTGTAAAGTGTTAGTTCAAGCAGTAGGATCAAAGCCATTCCTTTGTCTCTGACCACCTCTCCAGCCACTCTGTGCTGGGTGAGGTTTTATTGCAGATACATCCTATCTGAAATATCTGATTCTTGTGTGGTAAGCTTCCTGCCCTTTTGTGGCTTCACTGTGTTCTTCATGGTGAACCAATACAGAAATGGAACCATATATTGGGTGTGGGGGAGATTACCATTTTATGACTAAGAATGTTGTTAGAAACAGTTGGAAGTGTCAGGTCAAGGAATGTTATTTTACTGCCACTGTGTTATTATTCACATGTACGGTCATTATTTCATCATTACTTCATTAGTCTGCATCACTTATCATCAGTTTATCATCAATATTATGATGTATCATTTATCATTTAGTAAATCTGCTAACGGTGTTTGCTGAGTGATCTTGTATTCCTTGTATTCCAGAGCACGCAGAATAAAACACATTCTAGATATAATACTCTATCATGCATAGCACCAGCATAGCTGTAGGTCCAGGCAGCCCAAGTCAGATAAGGACACCGAACTTTCGTTGGCCTGGACCTACACTCTCACAAAACTGCACACTCGTGTACACAATTGTTTATGCTGCCAAATACCGATGATTGGAAACATCTGGTTTCAAGCCTGGGAAAGTGTTGTTGTTCTGAGAAGAGGAGGTCCAGGAATTGTCTTGACGTCATAATGGCTATAAAGCTTTCTGTAACGAGCAGAGAGGCGAAGACCGTAGTGCTTCCCACACTGTGTAAACTGTGTGTGTTTAATAAATCACTTTTTAGACACCTCCGAGGACTCTGTCTGCACTTGTTTTTCCTTCCAAATCAAAAGAACCTTACAGAGCCTATCTTCACCACATATAGGTGTTTTAATAAAATAATTTGTGTTGACCCACTATGGACTTTCAGTCGTATGTCTCTTCCTCAAAATTTGAACCGCGACAGAAGTCACGCACACAGAGAGACACATTCTCACACATTCACTCAAACACACACACACACACACACTCTCACATGCATACACACACACACATACACACATTCTCACATACACACACACACACGTTCTTGCACATGCATATAGATGTTTACACATACACACACATAGTGCCTTGTCTTAGAACCATTGGGGGGGTTTACGGTGGGAGGTGCTTTTGCTGTGGTGTGTATTGTTTGAACTGTTTTCCCAATAAAAGGCAGCAAGCGGAGGCCGGATTTGGGGTCATTTTGTGGTAGGATACGAAGTGCGTTCCTGAGATACTGACGAGGCCTCCCTTGCAAGTAAATTGATTGTCTTGTGTTCTTCATGATGAATAAGTCTCTAAACTAGCGGGGCTTGTGGAAGCACAGACCCAACAATAACAAAGAGAGGGAAGGTAGTCAGAAGTAAGGGGGATCGAACTAGGCAACAATGCAGACATAAAGGACCACTACAAATACCTGGGGATCCCACAGGAAAATGGAAACCATGACGAGGCTGCTGGCAAAGCTGCAACCACCAAGTACCTGCAGAGGGTCAGGCAAGTCCTGATGAGTCAGCTGAACGGTAAGAACAAGATCTGGGGTATCAACACTTACGCCCTGCCCATGATTAACCCTGCTGGGACAATAAGCTGGGGAAAGGAGGACATAGAAGGCCACTGACATCAAGACAAGGAAGCTCCTGATCATTCATGGAGGGTTTCAGTCCAAGTCCAGCACCCTGAAGCTGTATGCTAAATGGAAGGAAGGAGGCCGGGAACTGGTGAGTGTTAGCACCACGGTCCAGGATGAGACAACAAATATCAGGAAGATGGCCCCAACAAACCACGTGCTCACGTCTACCATACCAGGCAAGACCCCAGGTGAAGGCTGTGTAAAGATGCCCCTGAGACAATCCTGCACATAACAGCAGGATGCAAGATGGAACGCCATAACCAAGTGCCCGGATGGTTGGACTTTAACAAGGTTCCAAGTAGAGCTTCAACATGCATAAGAAGAAATAGGAGTGAGACAAAACTTTTTTGTGAGCTTGCAATTTATTATGTGCAGTGCAGCGAGGAGCGCTTGGACCTCTACGTTGGAGCAACCAAATAGCCACTCCATAAATGGATGGCGTCCACATATAAGAGCCCCCTCGACACAACAAGACTCAGCTGTACATCTGGAGCTAAAGGATAAAGGACACTACCAATGTTCATACTTTGGACCCAGAGGACAGATGGTTTGAAAACAAGTAAAATAGGCCATCTATGTCCACTGTGAATGACAATCATTGAACAGCCATCTTCAGGCACTATCACATTGACAAACTGCCTGGTGAGATGACAGCAAACCCGATCAGCATTTACAACTGAGTGATAAAACTCTTTGCTTAATGTGCTCATGGACCAATGTATATATTTAAGTTATGTATACCTGAACAGTAGCATGAGAGCCTGAAGGAATGTGCGGAAGTTGTTGTGGTGATTTATAGCTGTATCCTCATTCAGCTCAATGTTGCCAAACACCTAGAGCAGAAACATGGATTCAGGCCACAATATTGTAATGGTAAATTACTGCATGAATATCACATTCTCTAACCGAGTAGCATCACACACCTGCATTCCAATGATGGCGTAGATAAAGAACAGCATGGCAATCAGTAGACAAACATAAGGCAGGGCCTAAAGGCAACAACAGGAAACAAAACGTATTTCATTTTAAATACCCACTCTGAGTTCTTCTAGGCAGTGTAGAAGTGTGTGCAGGAAATTGCTGTATGTGGCTTTGGAAGTGTACAGAAAATGTGAATATCAGGGCTAGTCAAGAATGTGTAAGCATTGTACTGTTTATGAGCACCTTAAAAGACTGAACAAAGGTCCACAGCAAAATGCGGATGGTGTATCCCTGCCTCAGCAGCTTTATGAGTCGAGCAGCTCTAAAGAGCCTCAGAAAGCTCAGGTTGAGCAGCCTGTCCTGTTAGACACAGATAAGATAGGGAGCACTTACCCACCAAATATCATTGCTCAATGTTAAACACACTTATGGAAGTCAGCTGGTTACAAACAATCACATGTGGCAAAAGCATACAAGGTCAATACATTCAATTTCGCTAAATGCTGTTCATCACAGTGCTTTAAGAATTATCACTAAAAGGGGGCACAAAGGTTTTCCAGATGGCTCCATTTACTCATAACCTTAGACAACAGTGCACAGACTGGTTGACAAAGGAGCAAAGGAAGCCTCCTAGTAAACACACCTATGGTACCAATTTTGAAATCTTATGTGACCTTGTTCTCAAGTTATTACATTCACAAGATTTTCAGAAAACTTTCTCTGATCTTGAGGTTAAGGTCACCGGGAGTGAATGGTAAATTGACTGGTTCTTATTTAGCGCTTTTCTACTCTGAGCACTCAAAGTACTTTATACAACTTGTACATTCACCCAAGCACTTTTTTCTAAGCTGGTTCTTATTGCTTACTATCTAACATTCACAGGCATTCATACTCCAATGGATGCATTGGAGAGCAACATGGGGTTAGTATCTTGACCAACGACATTTGGCATGCAGACTGGGATTGAACCGCAAATTTTCCAGTTTGTAGGTGACCTCCTCTACCACCAGAGCTACAGCCACCCAGAGTCAAACTTGTCCAAGGTATTTAGTAGATCCACCGATGTTATCAATTCAAAAATCCGAGGTAACGTCCTTTTTATTTATCACATTCACGACATTTTCACTGAGATTCAAACCTGTCTAAGATTTTTAGATACCTAAATGACATCAATTTGAAGCAGAAAATATTTTTTCTCATGGGATCAGTTTCTTGATCATTAATACGCAATTATCATGACCATCAACGACTAGGGATGGACCGATCCGATATTATGTATCGGTCCGATACTGACCTAAATTCCTGAATTGGATATCGGAGAGAAATAAAAAAATGTAATCACATCCATTAAATATCACAAAAGCACCTCACAAAATGAGAGACATGGCATAACTCAGCTCATAACCTTAGGGAGCAGTATGCGCCTCTTCTCTCTCCCTCCCTCTCCTGTTGCTACTTCAATCATGAAACTGATCAATGATCAGCTGATCAGTTTTTCTTTCGCGACTCCCGTCTCTCTTGTTTGTTTTTGGCCCACTTTGCACCAGAAAGAGGAAACCAGGGGCTGAACAACAGCAGCACGTTTAAGCTTGATAAGCTGTTGTTAGAATTGTTAGAATTTATTTAATATTACTTTCTACAACAGGATCCTTTTCTATGTAGCTAATGTAAGTCTAATATATACCCTAGTAAGCTATAGTACTTTTTCCTTTGGTAGGGTACCATCTGTGCAGTCTGCAATTCTGTTGAAGAAAGATGTTGAATCTATTAAATTATTGTATAAAAATAATTGATTTCTGTGTTTTTTGGTTTTGTTTTTGTTTTTTTTACATGTGCATTAAAGTTAATTTAATTGCGCCAATTAAGCAAGTATGGGGTGATTCCCCATACTTGCCAACCTTGAGAACTCAGAATTAGGGAGACATTCAATGGATGTGTGTGTGTGTGTGTGTGTGTGTGTGTGTGTGTGTGTGTGTGTGTGTGTGTGTGGATATATATACACATATTGCAAAAACTTGAATTTTACAGTGTTTATTTATTTAAAACTATTTATTTAAAGTATGTTACATGTTCTTAGCCTGGATACCATGGCTATCAAGTACTGATGTCCCCTAATATGTTTTTGTGAAGTCTAAAGACAATCCAAAAAATATTGTGGGTAAAATAAAGTTTACTGACTTAAGATGCAGTTTAAATCTTGCTAGAAGTTCATTAGACTGCTAGCAAGATGTAAACTGCAGGTTTATAGGGTTTCTTTTCCCTACATCACCAGCATGAAAATGTTTTTATCATAGGACAGTTTTATTTACAGAAACCCACTCACCGTAGTCTAGTGATGTTTTTGGACCATGGCATGCCAACACCATTGACGACAATCAACAACAAATGTGTAGAATGACAGAAAGAGTTGGGAAAGAGAGGCAAGAGAACACAAACAGTCATATTGTACAGCATAAACTGATAACAATCAGCAAATAATCGTATGCAGATACATATACACACGTGTACAGAGATATACTTATAGTATAGTATAATAAAGATATACTTATAGTAGACTGAAAAGTCTGGAATAAATAAAGAAACTACCCACAAAATATGCAAAAACACTGTAAAATATAACTCAGCCAAATATCACACATTGAAGTTTACTCTCTAATGTGGATTCAGAAAAACACCTGTCCTGTAATTATTGCATCGTATCAAAACATTACTACCTCAAATCCTTTCCTTTTCCCCAGCTATATAGCCTCTGTCACGACTCTGCCATGTGACTGACCACTGGCTAGTTAGCTTGCTTGCTAAGCCCCAGTTAATTTTCTAAACTGCAGTGTTTTTATGTATCCCATGAAATATTTAAGTGAGAGTGAGGTGGGTGGGAAAAAGTGCTCTTACATTGATTTCCGTCACCAGGATGTCAGTAATGCTTCCCAACACTGTCACAAAGTCAAACACGTTCCAAGCATCCTTTAGGTAGTTCTGAAGAAAAAAAGCAAAAAAACAAAAAATAAAATCAGGAGCTGTGCTTTACCTTTAAGAGTATTTAGAGTTGCTTTATAATGACTACCCACCAATGGCCCAAAAGCAATGATCTTGAGAATACATTCCAGAGAGAAGAGAGTGGTGAACACTATGTTGAGGTTCTTTAGCATTACTTCATAGAACTCTGGAGCTCCATAGAACTACAAGAGAAGGGCAAATGAGACGTTAAGGCACATTTTAAGGTGACGAATAACGATTAGCTTAGTGTGTCAGGCTAATGCATTCCTTCTATGTCCATTATATGGAGACTATACCCCATAGTGCTTAAAATATGAAAATCTTGATACAGATGGAAGGAAAGTGGACAATACATGTAGAAAGGCTAATTTATAACATATCCTGTTCTCAAAAACTGACATAACTATAACTCTGGACTCAAGAAATACGTGCTTAAAGGTTTTAAAACATGTGACATCACCGGGTTGGTTAGTTGCTAGTAATAGACTGACACTGTTTGTGTTAGCTAACTACTAACAAAAACAATAACTCAGGGTAAATAAAGGACACTAAAACTAAAAATCAGTTTAAGTGGATCACTTTTGTGCTGCCCTTTGCTGCAACCATGAATTTTAAGTTAAAACTAAGGATACACTATTCACTTTTCTCTGACTGTTAAGCATTCAGTGGCTCTCTGTTGTCTGGCTAGTTGCAGTGAAACAGAAATTCCGCCTACCACACATATTAACCAATTTTTCCTGCAGATATGCTGATGTATTTCCTGATTTTGCTTCAGTAAAAAAAAAAACACAGTTATGTTTGTGATGTGATGTGAATGTATTAATCACTAGTGTAAACTGTATGGATCTGCTTGGGAAAAGAAAGATTGTTTTATTCCATAAAATACCACTTATCGCATCACCTGATTGTGCTGCTTTGAACACCCTGCTAGATGAGGAAAATAAGAGTTTTTGACTCTAGCTTGTTGGCCCGGTAAACCACCTGTCACCTGAATCAAACGGGCTGTCTTCCACATTGTCCTTATTCAAAACGTTTTTTACAAACCTGAACCTTAAGGCTAACAGGTGGATTTTCCCATGTCAGTGTAGCTAGTCAGACAATGAAGAACTGGGTCTGATGCTAGTTAGCTAACAGAAACTAATTCAGTTAGCTAACTGATTCTACTAATCGCATCTTGGCGAAATCATGTTCTGTACAAGATGCCACTAAATTAAACATGTTCTAAAAACTTTGCGCACATATTTCTTAAAACATCTACAAAAACAGTGCTACATCTATGTTAGTTTTTAAGAGCAGGTCTCAATGGTATAAATTAGAAAAAATTTGAAATTCACACGTAGAAATGAAAGATTCAAGGTGGGGGTAGGGTTTCATCAGGGATTACCTCCGGGCCCCTTTGTGTTTGACTATTATGGGACTATTATCCCTCCAAAACCCCATCCCCTTGGGACTGTGGCTACGTCCACAGTCGCAAGGAACAAGAAACACAGGAACAAGGAACACAGTCCCACAGGAAAACCACCGAGTTTTTTAAATGGACTAACAATGAGGAGGAGTTGTTGCTGCGAGTAACACAAAAGTACAAAGTTGCAAAAGCGAGTGAGAATTAAAGAATTTTAAGAAAAGCGATCTGGAGCATGTACAGACTGATATCAATCTTTAATAAGGCTGTCAAAATTGAGAGCAAACAAAACAACTGCTGTATAATGCCCTCCGCTTTCTCTGTTTAATTGGACACATGACTGCATCATATGACTGACATGCGTCATCATTTTATAAAGTCTGCGTCCACACTGCGACACGAAAGCAACGTTTTCAAATGTATGCATTTTATAGAGCACTTTCCATGAGTGAAAACGTTGTCTCAGTGTGGACGGGAGGCCAAAACGGAGAGAAAACTATGCGTTTTCAAACAAAAACGCATTAGTGTGGAAGTAGCCTGTGTCATCTCCCAGACCACCAAAAACAAAGCACAAATTAGCAAAAAAAGTTTTAAACAAAAATGAAAAGACAGAATAGAATGTACAACTGCAGCAAAGAGTAAAACACTAGATTGTTAAACATTCTCTTCTGTACAGAAACAGTACTGTACAGTCCAGAAAAAGCATTAGTCAAGGTTACAATCTTCTTATGGCCTCAGACAGTGGACAGTGGTCTGTGTTATTTAACAGTCCTATTTTTTGTAAATGGAGAGTCCTCTTCACACACTAAGGTTAATTATGGTGTTCAACAGGGTTCAGTGCTAGGATCAGTTCTTTTTACCTTAAGTTGGGCATACACTGTGCGATTTTTTCAATCGCGTTATTCAGCTCCTGCTCAAACTGTATGATTTACTCTCAGGGGTTAGAAGTTCATAGAGAACAATGCAGGGTCTCACACTATACGGCCCGAGTGCTCACACTTGCGTGTGTCTAACACGAAAGTTATAACACAAAATCTGTCTCTCGCTCTCCCTTTCACTCACACATAGACACATCCACCACCACCATCAATGTTGCTAAATTGCTAATGAAAACTAGAAAATCCATTTTCTGAAGAAACTGCAGTGTGATTGCTGATAGCTGAATGTTTTGAGCTGAAATGAAATAAATGCTGAATTTAAGTAAAAAAATGTTTAATGAGATGAAAAATACAGAATTATTCACCTGAAAACAAAAGTGCAGAACTGCTAAAGGCTGATGTTAACACAGAAGAAGTTTGAAAGCAGTTTTGAGTCACAAAGCATCTGAATGAATATTAAAAGTTCATATTCTTTTAATCACCAAATCACTGAAATGTGGGAGAACTCACTACAGAAAGATCAATGCTGTAAGTTTTAATGATCCAGTCAGAAAGGATGATTCTTAAAGTCATCAACTGACTCCAAATGCCCAGGTTTGAACCACCTATCTGCTAAAAACAAATCCACCAATCAAACAGAAGCCTGAATTTCATGGGCCAATCAGAATGCTTGATCCAGTTGTCCAGGACTAACTACTGATATACAACTACTCTGTGGCAAAACCCTGTCAAATCTGCCTCGGTGCACCTGTTGAACAATTGCTTCTAAATCCAAGACCCTAACTCCCATCAAAATCATTTTCAAAAGGTGAATATCCCGAGGACCTGTTCTACACAACTAATAGTTATGTCTATAACTTCTGTTCCCTGAAGGAGAGGAACAAGGTACAACACATAAGTATGGGATATCACGCCCTTGCGTGTCCTGGCTGAAGAAATCTTTATTCACACCTTTAAGGCAGATGACGCGCACGGCCCCACCTGCACATATAGCCGCTGTCATCACAGTCATCCCTCAGTTCAATAGCCGCTCTTCACTGAGCCAAACTGCTCAGTGGGGCCACCTTGTGTTGTACCTCGTTCCTCTCCTTCAGGGAACAGAAATTATAGACATAACTATTCGTCCCTTTCAGTCGATTCACTCGGTACAACACATAAGTATGGGACATATATACACGCCCCACAGAGCAGCCACCGAACCGGAATCAGACCAAGACATCCTTAGTGAGCGGTAGACCCAGCAGAAAGAACAGTATGAGCCACCGAAGGGGCTGTAACGTCCAACCGATAAAACCGCACAAAAGTGTGCGGTGATGCCCAACTAGCTGCCGCACAAATATCAGCTACAGGCACCTCTTTAAAAAGAGCCCATGAGGTTGTCATCCAGAAGTGGAATGAGCTCTCACCCCCTGGGGCAAAGCAAGACCTCTGGTGCCATATGCCAGTGAGATAGCTTCTATAATACAGTGGGACAGCCTCTGTTTAGACAGACCTCTACCTCTATTTGGATTAGCGAAGCAGACAAACAGCTGGCCACATAAACGCACATTCTGAGTGCGCTCAATGTAGGTGCGTAGCACACGCACTGGACAAAGAGAATGCATCCTCTTCTGCTTCTCAGATGCAAAAGGAGGGGAGCAAAAGCTCAGCAACTCAAACTAAGAGCTATAAGATGCAGGCATGATCTTGGGAAAATAGGTAGCATTTGAACGCAATACGACCTTGTGGCCATCAGGAGAGAACTGTGTGCAGGAGGGATGCACAGACAGCGCATGAAGGTCACCCACTCACCTTGCCGAAGCCAAAGCGAGAAGTAATGCAGTCTTATATGAAAGAAATTTAATATCCACAGACTCAATGGGTTCAAACAAAGGGCCTCCAGCACCAAAGATAAGTCCCAAGCAGGGACAGAGGGGCTTGAGCACCCGCCCCTTTCCTGATGGGTGCCCAAAGTGCCCTTTTGTTGAGGCAACTTTTAAAAAAAATATATATATATATATATATTTTTTTATGTGTGTGTGCGTGCGTGCGTGTGGAGTCCTGTCTGTGCCCCTCAACAATAATATTTAACTATTAATCA